ATATAATTTGACGTAAGGAATATATTAACTCATTAGTAAGTCCAAATGTATTCTACATTTAATTTATTTATAATCAATGAATCATTATTATAAGTTTTTCATAAATTAGTTATATAAAATACTGGATATAAGTAATGGATAATACAATGGATAATATTATAAATTAATTATTTTATGAATTTTACGAATTGAATATGTTATAAAAGTTATATATGTATCTATAATAATATAAAGAATTTTTAAATTTAACTTTTTTAAAAATAAAAAGATATATTAAGCAAACTTTTTTCATATCTTTTATTTTATTTGAATACAAAACTATTGTATTACTTTATTATAATATTGTTTACTATATATTATTATATTATTATCATTTATATTATTATTATTATATTATTATCAGAATATTTTGTAATTTTATATTATTACAATTTAATTTTATATTTTTTCACATATTAATCAATATATTACATATTACATATTATACTTTAATTTTACATATTATACTTTATTTTTATTTAATATTATTTTAAACTATTATATTATATATTTATTATCTAAAAATATTTTTAAAATTGTAAAATAAATTAATTTTTTAATTCTTTTTTAATTCTAAATACTTCTTCTTTATTTCTAAATATTTTGTTTTGATTTATAAAATTTGTGCAGATATAAAATATCAATTTTTATATCTATCTAATTAATATGTATGTATATATAATCTAACCAATAAAAAAATTACAATTGCAAAGAAATTTAAAATATACATATTTATATATTTATATTAATCTATTAATTTAGTTAAAAAAAATTGTTGAAATATTACAGTATTTTAAATATTAATGAATGCAAATTAATTTATATCAAACTTTGCAATATAAATCATAAAATATTTTTAATGCAAATTTGATAATATGATAAATCCATTAGCGATTTTTGCATAAATGAATAATTAAATTTAAAATATTAAATTTAAATTATAAATAAATACAGCAAGTCAATAAAATTTATATACAGACATAAATATATTAAATAATTCGAATTTTACGAATTGAATTAATAAATTATTGTTGTTTATTTTTTTTAAGATGTTTTATTATAAATATTAAAATTAATTACATATGTATATGTAATTATTATTTATTTATACATATTTATACATATATTAAATATATTTTTATTTTATAATATTGTAATTTTATATATTGCAATTTTATATAATGCAGTAAATTCAATTATTTAATTTTTTCTCGCGGCCTAAAAGATTTCAAGAAAGGAGAAAGTTTTTACGGCCATTTTGAAGAAAGTTTCGAAATAAATATTATGCGATTTCACTATTCAGTATACAAACTATGTACATTATATTTCAGATAATTTATTAATTTAATAACCTTTATATATATATATAGTATATATATAGTATATATATAGTATATATAGTATATATATATATATATATATATATAGTTTAGTTTGTCAAAATTATTTCTTTACAATTTTGTAGAAGTTATTATTATATTTTTTTTATGTAATAAAATTTTTTTCTAAATAAATTTTGAATAATAGAATTTATTGAAGAATATATATATTAAAATTAAAAACGGAAAAAAAATAAAATGATGAAAAAAAGATGTTAAAAAATAAAAAAAATATATATATATTAAAGTTAAAAACGAAAAAAAAAATAAAATAAAATGATGAAAAAAAAATGTTAAAAAATGAAAAATATTAAAACTCTTCCAAATTAATTATTTGCCAAAATTTAATCTTATTTTTCGATGAATTGATAAAACCGTCCAATTTCTTGGAAAGTCAATGCGAATATATTCTAATAAGTTCAAATATAACGTATCCTATATTTCAAATATTTCAAATATTATTCTCCCTGTGATCTGCAATAAATTCAAGAAACAATTACGGACGAATGATCATGAAACTTTAACCAGTTCGTAAAATATATGCAACAACGCTTGACTTGGACGTAGTCTGTTACATAAATAATGATTACGTGTGATACTGCGCGAGTCGTTGCTGTTGTTACAACCTGTTCACGGTATTGCCTCGTTTTACTTGAAAGCAAGCCTGACAATTATCTTAATAGCTGACTCGGTTGAGCGATTTCCAGGTAGCGAAGGCGATGTTTCCGACGATTTTCATCGAGTAAACAGCGGAAAGAATAACCGCTCCAGGCATGCTATATTTTCTGCGCTAATTTATTCTTGATTTTTTCTTTTTTTTTTTCTCTATTGCCATTTTATGTTAGTCACACCAGATAGCGTGCACATGAACTCTTGGTAGCTTATCGACCAAAATTCAAAAATTATTGCTAGAAGCTGTACGATTGATCACAAGAAACTGTGATCAATTTTCAAATTATCTTAGTCTTGGCTAATCCTCATAGAATTGTTTTGAAAGAAAAAAAAAGAAAATCGATGTAACCTGTAATCTTGTGCGATATCTGTCTACATAGCTGAGAAAAGATGCAATCGATGCAATTTAATAGCAATCAGGCAAATTATGAAAATGATAGTGCCTTAGGTTAGCTTATTCCTATACTATGATTAGTTATGTAATTGGAGTTGATAAAGTTATATTTATATACATTCACTAAAAATCTTACTATAAAAACTTATATAATATATAATGATCAAATTTAGTATTTTTAAATTGAAATGTTTGAGAAAAAAATGTTTGAGATAATTTTGATTAGGTATTTCATTAGGTATTTAAAAATTTTTTTAATAAACACAATTTTTTTAATATCATAATTATATGAAAATATAGTATAGTAAAGAAATTTATAAAATATTAAAATTTTTTTAGTGTATTTGTGTAAATAGATGTAATGAAATCTCTAAAACAATAAAAATTAAGATATTATGTGAATAAATTTATATACTTACGAAAAAAAAATTAAACAAATATCAAAAAATAAAAATTTCGATGTTATATAATTGCAATTTTATATATTTTAGTTGTATAGTTGTTAGTAGTATAGTAATAGTAAAATGTAGTATAGTAAAATGTTAGTGTTTAGTTGTATAGTAATACAAAAAAAATAATAAAAAAAATAGAATAATATATAATATACAATGAATAGATTGAATATAAAATAATTAATTATTGAAACAAAAATAAAAAATATAATTAATTCAGTATTCATTATTATTAAGGAAAATATAAGTAATTATTTTGTTATTCCATAAATATTTAAAATCGTATTATTATTATATTATAATTCATTATGATAATGAATTATAAGTTTTAATGTAATTTCGAGTTAAAATACAACATAATAAAATTGTTCAAATAATGTATCAAAAAATATCAAAAAAATAAAAATATAATTATATTAATATTTTGATACTTTTCGTGATTCATACTTTGACTAATTCAATAACATACTTTCAATTAATATTATGCCGTTTATCATGATATTTGTTTTTTATTTAGAAAGGAAATAAAGTATGTGTCAACGTGATAATTGCTATATAATAAACATATGTATACTTTGAATTACAATACCAGCATACGAGCGACAAATTTAGTTACTATTACACGGATTGTCATCGTAATATGATGATGTCTCGTTTGTGTCAAGGACGATATATCGTCATTCACAACGAGCATCATAAATCTCTTTTCTCTTTATACACGTATGATGATACATTTGAATAGATAAGTTTATCAAGTTTTTTAGAAAGACATTAATTTGACTAATTTATTAATTCAATATAAAATTTATTTAATATAATAATAATTATATATTGCTATAAAATAAAATTAAAAATAACAATCTTAATAATAATAATAATAAATTAATTTTATTGTTTTCTAATAAAATATTTCAAATAATTTATTAATCTTATTTTAATAATTTGGATTTTAAGTTTATATATGCTATATTTTCATAATTTCAAAATTTAATGGAATTTTATATAAAAATAATAACTTATTTATCAAATTCATGATCCTCAAAAACATTTAAATATTTTATTATTAAATATTTTATCATATATTTAATCATATATTTATCATTTTATCATTTTCATTATATACAATAAAACTTAAAACTTTATTTAGAATAAAACTTCATAATATTAATAATAATGTTATTAACGTAATTTTATTGTAATTAAATCTAATATTATGATTTTGAATTTTTTTATTATATCATATTGTTAAATAGATTTATTTTAATCGTTAATTTTTACTTGTCGAGATTTAAGATTCGAGTTCAAGATCTCTAATCTAATCTAATTTAAGTTCAAATGTAAACGCAATGCTTAATTTTATTACTTAATTCAGTATATAGTGTAGATAGAATCTCTTCTAGATAGATTTACATTCAGACATATATATATCATTATTATATCATGATATATCATATAATACATGTAATACAATGTAAGTATGTATTTATATATATATATATATATATATATATATATATATATATATTTATATACAATTTATTTAATATAAATAACACTATCTTATATTATATCGTACATATTCCAAAAATTTTCCTTACAAAAAAAAATTCTGCGTTTACATATGATTATTTTGAACGGGTATCACTTCTTTACACTATAACATTGTAAACATAACTAAAACTTCTACGCGTTCTTCGGTCTACAATTTTATATAGTTTTGCGTAGATTTATACAATCCCATGACGCTTAATGTTATATAACACATTTTTGTTTTAAATTCAAAATTTAATATAGATTAATAAATAAATAAAAAAGTAAAATTAAAAATTGTATGCATCTTGAAAATATAAAAGGAAAATGATGCTGTTGAATTTTGCTATTGAATTTAATTTCTAAGTTTTATAAGGAATAGATGTACATGATATATCTGTATATATAAGAAATATACATATAGATATTTATATAATATGTTATATATAATAGTGTATATAGTAGTATTATACTTTTGAGAAAGAAGAGAAACAAGTGACAAGTAAAAATTAATTATTTGTTTTATGATTCCAGTGAGCATGACAGTGCTGATGTTCTACCTATTCGGTAAACCATACAAACGTGGATTCTTTTGCAATGACGAGTCGTTATATCACCCGTTCCACGACTCGACTGTAACTAGTGCGATGCTCTACGTTATTGGTCTTTTACTTCCTATATGCACGGTGAGTCATCTGCTACAATTTCCAAAAAAAGCATCAAACGATATATATTTTGCCGACGCTATAATTATTTTTCGCGTTTTACGTTTTGGACGATGTGTTCATTAAATAAGCGAGAAATACCGAGCATATAAGAGATGTTGAAAAGATAAATTTATGGGTTGAAAATAATTGATATTTAATGAGTGAGTAATATTAAAAATAATCCAATTTTAAACTGAATTTAATTAAAAATAATTAAATATTATTTTTATTATAATTTTTAATCTATTTTTTAAATTGAATATCAAATTTATTTTTTCAATATACATATATATGTTTTTTTCATATTTATGTACAAGGTAATTTGATATTTTGTAATGAAATAATGATTTTTTTTGCAAGACTTTTTCATAATATTAATTTGTTAGTTCGTTTTTTTTATTAATTTGTTTTTTATCTTATCGACAATATAAGAAAAAATTTTTTCAATAAATTTTTTTTAGAACATTAAATTCTTAAGTTCATTGATAAGTTTATTATCTATTTTTTTCAGATAATAAAAGTTATATTTAAAAAATTGGGCAAACAAATATTTAACATTAATAATATAATTTAAAATATTTTAAGATAATTAAATTGTAAATTTTCAAAATTTTTATTAAAAAGGAAAAATAATTAATACTTTGATGATTGATCTAAATCAAAATTAATTTTGATATATATATAATATTTGCAATGAAAACTTATTCTTTTTAAATTTTATTTTAAATATATTAATATTCTTTTTAAATTTTATTTTAAATAAATTTTAAACAAATATTTATTTACAATAAAATATTATTGAAATTTATATTTTGTTAATAATAATCTTTTATAAATTTTTAAATTATAATTTTTATATAATTTTTTTATTACTTTTCATTATTTTTTTTTATTTTTCTTCAATAAAATAAATTTCAAATATGATTTCATTTATGTATCAAAGAAACGGTCTATAAAAAAATACAACATATATGACCTCATTTTTATCTTCTATTTATTTATATGTTTTTATAATATATATATATATATATATATATATATGCTATATGAATGATAAAAAAATATTCAATTTTAATGTTTTAATTAATGCTATCGATAGTTTTGAAAAAGTATTTATTGCAGACAAATTTAAAGAGTTAGAAAAATATAGACAAATAAAATATATTTTTGTTTCTTTATAGTTACAATAAATTTTTATCTTGTTAAAGTAAAGGCTTTATATTTGATTTTTGAAATTGATTTTTTATTCATATGAATATTCAATATTTTAAAAGTACAATTTGACTACATTCATAATTCAAAACAATTGAAATTTATAGAATTATATAAATATTTTAAAGAAAAATTGTTAAATTTTTTTATAATAGATTATCTTTTATATTTGAAATTTATTTTTTATATTTGATCACTTTTGAATGAAATAAAATAATATTAAAAAAATTTTTTTTCATTTTTTGAATTTCATGAAAATATATTTTATATTTTATATAATATATTTTATCTTATTTTCAAACTATTTCTTTATTATAATATGATAAAACAATAAAAATTTATTACATCTATTAACTTAATAATTCAAAATTATAAGAATATCAATGTTTAGATAATAGATAGCAAAATATACAAATAATAAAAACATTATTCGATTACCAATGATATTGAATAAAAATAGTAATCAATCAATAATATTGAATAATAATAATAATAATAATTGATACGTTATCACATTATATTATTAGATTTTTTAAGATCAAAATATTTTCACATATATTTTTATATATTTTTCTATTTTTCCATTGTTTATATTATAAATATATAATTTCTCATTATTTTTAGAGTTTTATTATATTATTTTTATAATAAATATTCTTGTCATATTTCTATATTAAAAATTATATGCTAATTAATTAATTAAATTATAAAAATTATGTTTCACGCAAAATGAAAAATTTTATTGCAACGAAACTTTTTAAAATTTTGTCATTATTTATTTTTTAAATAATCATATTTTATTTACATCGATCTATTCGAATATTTTGAAAACTATTGATAATATTTGCGAATTTTTATATAAAAGTTTTTATATTTTCTAAATATTTTAGAAATATAATATTTTGCATATTATAATATTTTGTTTATCTTTTTAAAAAGCATATAAATATATATGTTAAATTTTAAATATTAAATATGTTAAATGATATATATATATTAAAGTATATTTATATACTTAATAAAGTAAATGTATGATAATCTACGATAAATCTACGATAAAAAAAATCAGAAATTATTAGTTTATCCAAATTTCATATAAATATTCTCGAAATTTTTTAATTATATACTGATTTATAGAATGTAAATTGTGACGAACAATTCAAAAAAAAAATAAATAAATGCATGTTTCTAAAAAAGAAAAATCGTATTATATAAAATCGTAAACATATTAAACGATAATATGAATAAATTTTATTGTATCATTAAAAACATTATATGCTCTATGAACATAAAATATGCATTTATCATAATTTATGATATAGAATGGTTATTTTTAATAATTAATAAATTAATTAATAAATGTGAATTTAAACTCCACAAATATGGAAAAATTATTTGTAATTTATCGTAATGACAATTATGGATTATTGTAATAACAATTATGGATTATTCATTATAAATAATTATGTCATTATATTAATTAAAACAAAAATGTTAAATATTCATTATATCAGTTTAGATTATGTTGTATGCAATATATTTATCTTATATTGAATTATAAACATATTTATATAATATATCTATGCATATTTTATACTTCATAAATATAAATTTCATTGTTATAATATCTTGTTTGTAATATATGATTGTTTGTATATATGGTTTGTATGACAATTTAATGATATTAAAAGATATTTTAAATAAAAATTGAGAGATTTCAAACAATATTTTGATTAATATAGAAGCTTTTTTCTAAATCGAGTCTAACAGACTCGAAAAGTTAACTTCATATTTCTTAAATGAAATCCTATTTTTCTAAGTGTAAAACGATATAATTACTTGTTATTTATAAAAAACTACTAAATCATTTACACCAAAAAACATTGATTTATAACATTTTTATTTAATTAGTAAAATGTAAAGTAAAACGTAATTTAATTAATAAATTTTAACTTATTGAATATTGAAAAATTGATTTTTTGATATAAATGATTTTAGATTTTTCATATAATTAATAAATTAATAAGTTATTAATTGAGTCCATTTATATATTTAAAAAGCTTGGATTTTATTTTTATAAAAAATATTAATTTCCAAATATCTTTTATGATTCAATCTAAGAAAAAATCTTTTAAAATCAAGTATTTCAAAATATTTTTCAATATTTCAATCAATTTTTTCGAAATATTCGGATGAATAGAATTAAATGAGATACTGTATATACATAAAATATATGCATATATAAATATATATATTAATACATATATACTTATATAATCATACATATAAATTTAAACATATTGTTTTATCGCTTTATTGCTATTATTATTTAGTTGAAATGTAATAGATTTTATTTAATATGAAACAACTAAAGTCTAAATGATTTTAAACATTCGTGAAATAATATGCTATTTTATATGTAATAACATAATTTGCGGTCAACACTTGACGCTTTTTTAATCCTTGTCTTGGATATTTGAGATTTAAATTCTATGTGAACTTTTAGCATATATTTTTTATTTGTTTCAAAGAAAGAAAGAAAACGTTTCAATAAAAAAAATCGATCGTCTTATAATTATCATAAAAAATATAATTTTATAGTTTTATATTTCTTAAAAATTTTGCAATAAAAATGCAATTATTATTACATATTTCTCATTATTATACCGTTCTATTTTTATTTCTTCAAAAATGATTTGACACAAATCTGATTTAAAAATTGCATGGGTCATGAACGATCCAGTTCCAGTTCCACACAATATAAATGTTCCAACAATCCACTGTATGAAAATTAAAGAAGTGAATGATCTTAATACTCATTCATACGCGTTACTTATAGAGTGCGTCTTTCACAGTTGTATTCAAATTTAAATATACTTCTTTATGTACAAAAAGCCTTTTCCCTATCGTCCCTCCCATGCGTACAGATTTGTGACACTTCTTGGAACATACACATATATTTATATGTATATAAGTCTAACTTGTAGAAATGTCGACAAGTGGTAGTCTCGCAAGAAAATAAAAAAAGCTTCCTATTTTTTTATCTAATTTCCTGACGACACCGCCGCCACAGCTGTCCTTTATCTGCTTCTTGATCACCATCGTATATACTTACATACAATCCCTTAAGTCGATCTAACATATCATTAGATATTTTCCGAAGAACTTTTCAAACTCCTATCGACGAGACACGATTCGACGAGTGAAACACGGAGAAAGAAGGAAAAATGATAAAAAAAGGAAAGAAAAAGGAGAAACATAGAGCGGATAGGTGAAAGGTTTAAAACGAAGATGTATGTATATAGGTGGAAACGTATAAGGATGTCGACACATGTGGGATGAAACGAAGAAAGAAGTTAAGTTTCGGTGGTCGTGGGAATCGATTTACGATATCTGGAAGTGGTGCACGTGCATACTGATGTATTTTTGCCAGGCGGCGCGAAGAAGAGACTGCATCCTCTATTTGCATCCTTGAAAACTGCACTCCGTTAGGCTCGAGCTAACAAGAGGTCATTAGCCACTAAAGGAAACTGAACAGATGCATATGTTACCCTTGCTTCGTAGAATATTTTCATATTTTCTCTGTACACGTGCAATAAGATTTGATGGAAAATTGTTTGAATTCCGTGGATAGTTTTGATGATATTTATAGATCTTGCACGATATATCTCTTACAACATTGGCTATCTTTAGCCGCACACTGAAATATTCATAAATGAGGTGATCAAAGATGTGGAGTAAATAGTCGAAATTTTTCTAGAGAAATA